AGTAATCAACCACTTGAAAAAAACTAATATGTTTGCCAGCTCAAACTCTTGCAAATCTCAGGTAAACAAAACACACCTACTGCATTTGGATTGCACCTAGAGAAATCACTGAAAAAACACCACGATTAGAACATGAAAATACACACAGAATAAACTCACAGGTACACAGTCGCTAAGTAGTAAACAAAAGACCACATATTGGTCTCGCCTTTGACCCAGGTGATCACGCCTTCAAACAGGGAGCACCTGAGAAACAAAATATTTAAAAAAAATTCATTGGTTCTTGCTAAGTATTTAAATTGGCCACGAGCAGCCATTGGTTGATCAGTGGCATGAGACCTATTGAGAGATATTGCTTTAGAACAGCATTAATTAAAACAAAATGACCGCCAGTCAGCCATTTTGAATTCTATCTGAGAAACAAAATGGGTCAGGGACACATAATGTCTAATGCATTACCAATTTGAACGAAATAATTCCCTAAAACACCAAGATCCGGTTCCCGAATGCCAGAAATGTAGTGGTTGTGGAACAAATTTATGTTCATATGTATAATATTATGTATGATATATGTGTGAAGTTTGAATGTGCGCACGCAAACACTAACACTTGTCAGAGGTCAATCGATAAGTCCCTGTTTTCGGAATGCGTCCGAACTACTTGCCAGTCGGCCATCTAGGAAAGAATCACAGAACAACTTGCATATTTGTGAAACAATACATTACCGCTGTATACAATTTGAATAGGCTTAGAGACTGCAGGTTATCAGCTTGAAATAGGCTTAAATCTTAAAGATAGACTATGTGAGTATTTATAGAGCTACACTAGCTGGGGTCTTTGCACTATCATGTAAAATATTTGATGGACTGAAATCGTGTGAATTTTAGTAAATATATCTAATAAACGATCTTATGTCAATGGTCTTCAGTGCATTTTAATTTAAAACACTTGTTTAACAATTTCACAATCAGAAATCAGCATACATGTTACAATTTTCAATAACTATTTCATACTCACGTTCAAATGGGTATTTCTTCGTGACAATCTCCCATAATGTGATACCGAAACTAAAAAAAATCAAAGAAAGCATTATGTTCTAACAAACAATAATAGAATACAATAACAAGCGATACTTTCAATATTTTTGTAGTGTGCCTTTTGGAAGAATGGCTTATTAATTTAAACTATATCAGCTATGTACAACAGGGGCATGCGTTTTACAGGAGTCTTGTCTACCTGTCATTTTAGACACACAATCCACATTTTAGACACCTATTACAACTGTGTTCAAGCGA